GGTCGCTGAAACTGTTCGAATTGTACAAAGTGCGGCGCGGTGAATCTTGTGTTTGTGACATTGCAGACAGAAAGGAGCAGGCGTCAATGCCAATGGATGAAGAGTGTGGATACATGTATGGAGAAACTCGCCAAAATCTAAGTGTATATAATTATGTATGTATATGTATGTACGTATATGCATGTATATATTTGCATTACACTAGGTTATATGCTTTCAATGTAATTCTCCCGCTATCTCTGTTGGTTGTTAAAGTGCTTTTACTCAGCACTGGCATATATTAGATGGTGACTGGTTTAATTTCTTGCTCATCGGGACCTACTCATGCAATTAACTCAATTTACTGGTCTTCGTAATACACTGTGTCTCTTGTTTTCCTTTTTTCCTTGAAAAGAATACCCGGCTTCCGTGCGTGCGTTTATTACTTGCGTTGCTATTCTTGTCCAAGCTAATCGAACTGGGGAAGGTATTGTGCGAGAGGTTGTAGTGTGTATTTCCGTAGTAGTTACGGGTGGGACCAGTTGTTGGAGTATTTAGTGTAATTTGTGTGGGTGATACTGTCACCCATGGATGGATGAAGTAGACTGGGTGTTGATGGAGTGGAGTGTTACACAGCAATCTGCGTCACAGTCTGCGTGACTGTCCGTAGGGAAAAATAAACCTTGCCTCTAGACAAGCGTTTTTTCCCTCTCAAGTGATAAGAGTGCCTAGTTGATGCAGTAGGCACTGATTTATCAACTGAGCGCTTTGGATGATGGGATCACTTGCGATGGGGAAGTTACCCGCGACATGACGTCTTTTTACGCCTTTGCCTATTTTAAGGCAGGCTTCCCCTATTCTTCTTATTCGTCTCACAGTTTGCCTGGCATTGTGGATCCTGTGCCATTTCTTTATCTTCGTTAGGCGGTTGGAAGATAGCCAACAATGACCTCTTACAATGGCCGGTAGTGAAAACAATGGGCCTAGGAGGAACGTACACTTTCAAGAAGCATATTCCAAAC